ACTCATTTCCTGCTTGATTTTGCCAGGAATTTGAGGTCATGCATATTTAAACATAAATATAGATATCCATTTTCAGATGAATTATTTGGAAGGCTAAATACATTGGAGAGGTAAACTTTGTTAAGGATATCAAAAGTGGTCAATTTTTTAAAATATAGAAGACAGTGCAAAATAGCCTTGTGTTTATAGCCCACCTCCTCATGTGGTACAAAGTTCTTATTCTAGGGCTATAAATGAAATTCTTTTGTGTTCTTTGTTTTTGGAACTAGCTGGCTGTCAAATACAAAATACCTCTTCATGTAGATGCCTGTCTGGGGGGCTTCCTCGTCGTCTTTATGGAGAAAGCAGGATACCCACTAGAGCAACCGTTTGATTTCCGGGTGAAAGGTGTGACCAGCATTTCAGCTGATACCCATAAGGTGAGCTAAGAAGGAGAAGAGATGTTAACAGTTGATTATTTTAACTATTATTGACAAGATAAATTAGGTAAAGCATTAGGTTTCCCCTAAAGTATAAAATTAAATCTGGCTCTTTGCTCTCACCAGGTCAGCTGGTTCAGGTGACAGGGTGTAGTGGTAGAGGTGACAGGCAATAGTGAAAAGGAACCTATTACCTTTATCTCTTATTGGTTAAGAGAATTTCTGTATCCACTGGGGCACGCTAGTATAGTGGCCCTTATAACAAAAAAAGTTCCCTGAAGCCTTGAGATTATTTGAGGTGGAGGTTGGAGGAGATGAGGGTTGACACTGGAATTCCTGAAGAGGGTGGAGGTTAATGCTGTGGCTCCTGTGCTACTGGGGCTTCTGAGCCTGAGTGACAGGAGTATGTTGATGGACGAGTCCTTTGGGAAAAGGGAAGATCCTATGTGCTCAGGAATGCTTGGCTTACACTGTTTGAAATGCCCGTGCCTGTCACTCTTGGTGGACCAAGATGAAGTCTGGATCAGTTGGGAACTCTTCTGAAAATATATCCGGATGTGGAAGAAGTACTAGTAGTTTCAAGAATGTACGCCTTGTTTTGGTTGCATTTTCAGACTTTATTTTAGACTATAGTAAAGACTTTTTCAAACTCTAAATGATCTGCAAAAAATTTTCAGTCAGAATCGCTGTTTTTGCCTTACCACCCAGCTCCTATACCCCTTTTCCTTAACTGTCCATTTCTGTGTGGTTCAGAGAATGAATTAGCTCCATATTAGGTTCAGTAAGAATAAATTAGGAGGACACATGCTTTATAAAGAAACCAATTACATAATTTATTTTAAAGCTGGATTAAGAAGCTTTTAGATTTTGAGCACCATTATGTTCTTAACAAGAAAGTGTAATTCTAAGCCTAAAAGATAGGAGCAGGATTAGATGGTGATTTCTGTTGCTCCAAGTGACTTGAATGCCATCCTTTCCTGGCTTCCACTGGAATCTTATCCTTGTTTCCTTCGTCACATACCGCCTCAGAGAAGTATTTTAAATAAGGAAAACCACATGCTGGGCGAGAGAGGGAGTAAACCCAGGAACTGGGCAAGATGCCATTCTTCCCTG